TTTATTCTCATGTGGGGACAATTGAGAATAAAAAGTTTCATCCGTCCCATCTTTTGCGACGAGGGGACGGTTGGAACTTATTTTATTTCATGACGGTTCCATCCACCTTATTGGTGATGATGGAACTAATAGGTGGGAATTACGAATTTCGAATTACATTCGCAGCTGTCAGATAGGGACGGTACGTCTGCCAATGTTCTGGTATATTCCAATTTTTTTTTCTTATTATCAGATTTCTTTGTATTCTTCCAGACGCCAGATACGTGCGTCAGTACGATCGATGAAAATGTCATCATCACACTAATGATATCCCAAACTGTATTCGCATTCCTCAACTTCGTGATATCGTATCTACCGAACCATAGACGGAAGTTAATGATAGGGATCCTTTGTTTATCGACTCTGAGTGGGTTTACTGTGAGCGTGGTACCCGAGCCTATATCCAGTGTGGTGCTGTTTATGGTGTTTACATCTACTTGCCTAGGTATGGGCATTCTAGCATCTTACTTCGTTGACCAGTATCCTACAACTTACAGGTTAGTTGAAAAACTGAAGTCTTTCTTGCACTATTTGTAAATTCGCTTGGGAGGACTGGCATGAAAAATTTTCGAGAGAGTATCTTAAAAGTCTCGATAAAAGTATGAGATTTGTCAGTGTACTTTACGCCCGCTAGGGGCGCTGAACATATTTAATGCTAGTTTAGTCGATTACGTTATGAATACTTTCTAGCAAATTTTCGTGACGCAATAATTTAAAATTCTATCATCGGTCTAATTATGCAAAAAAAAAAACAGACAATACGTTTTCAGACAGAAGTCATGTTGTTAAAACAATTTAATGACGACGTAAAAAATTTAATATGCAAATAAACATAACTATGATATAATTTCAATTATATTAACTAACTACTCCAATAAAATGTTTCAGAGGCATGGTGTCCAGTTTGAGCATCATGGTGGGTAGGAGCAGTTCCTTTGTGGGCATCAACCTGGTGGGCAATGTCATCTTCCACCACTGCCGGGTCACCTTCAACTTGTGGTCACTGCTTGTTCTCTGTTAGTACTTCAAACATAGTGAAATGAAATGTGTTTCAATTATGTAATATCGTAAACATACGTTAACACGGGTGCCCAGCGCGGATTTTAAATTTTTATTACGTACTAGCTTTTGCCCGCGAATCCGTCCGCATGAAATGAAACAAAGACAAAAGAAAGTTGCCTGTGTTCTTCCAGGCTATGTTCTACATCTATGCAAAATTTCATCGAGATCCATTCAGCCGTTTAGGCTACAAACTCTAACAAACATCCATCTAAACTTTCGCATTTATAATATTAGTAAGATAGATCATGTTTAACAGTGGTAGAGCCCGCTTTAACATCTTTGCACTGTAGGGCCGACTCGCCCGGTGTAATACCATGACCACACAGAAAACAGGCGTGAAGTGGAAGCAATTTCGCGTTTCGTCTGATGAGTGTGATGCGGGAGGCCTAATTTTAGTCACTTTTCCTTTACCACCCTTTTCTTATAAGGAAAGGATTGAGAGGAAAAGTGGATTTGACGGTGGAGGAGATGCATATGAAAGGGAAATTTCCTCTTTATGTGCGTCTTCCCCTCCGTCAATGAAGGGTAGGCAACGCATCTGTAATTGCGGATGTTTATGAGCAGCGATCGCTTTCCATTTCGGTGGATTCAGGTGGCCGCTTGCTCGTTTGCCATCTTATGTTATAAAAAAAGCTGTTTATTTAAACTCGTGTTTAACTACTGATTAATAAATCTCATGTTAAACAGTTTTTTAGTTAATTAATCCTGTTTACTTTTGTATTATAGGCAGCGTAATAGCGGCGTGGTTCCTACCACCTGATAAGCCTATGCAGCCCGCGGAGAAACCGACTAAGTTATAGTTTTAAGTTATAATGTATCTGTGATTTATTATTAGTAATAAATAAGACTATTATAAAAATATATGGCCTTTATTTATACATCATTTACATACTAATTATTCAATTTCATTAACAATTAAAACACATATCAAAATTCTTTTTATTTATTAAAATTGATGATTTTTATATAAATTTCTTTATAGGTTTAAGTCAAATCCTAGGTAATATAGGTATATACATAATACTCACAATTCTAAGTATGAATTACTAGCTTTTGCGCGCGATTCCGTTCGCGTGGAATTAAGAAAAAACAAAAGTGATAAGCCTATGTGTTCTTCCAGGCTATCCTCTGCACCTATAGCAAATTTCATCGGAATCTGTTAAGACGTTTGGGCTACAAACTTTAACAAACATCCATCCATCTTAACTTTCGCATTTATAATATTAGTATAATATGCACAGAAATATATTATGTTTCATTATAAATATACAAAATGTAATTTTTTTAAGACATCGAGGTCGTCACAACTGTTTTACTAAACACGTTGTGCGTTGTATTTAACTTTTGTATAAAATATTCTTACTTTTAATTATGCTAAAAACAGTATAAACTATGGATATGTCTAAAGTTCGTTAAGAGATCACAGAAGGCTTTATAGCCCAGCGCGAACTAAAATTGGTCTAAAAAATGTTGAAACATCACATGTTTTAAATATTCTCTTATATTCAAAAAGCATTTATTTTAACAAAAATATGGATAGATTACCAACTAATCATTAAAATAACTTATTATAATAGTAGTAACTTATATAAGTAAAATATGTATTTCATTTATTTGTCTAATTAAAGGGTCAAATCAATATTTTAAGGCACAAACATAACTCACTAAGTCTTGTCTAGTAATGCTCATTATATCACTGCAAAGCCTATTCTATTACGAGTTATTTTCGTACTATCTGAATGGTACAGTCGCGGAAATCTGCAACGTTCCACATATAAAAAATCCTTGTTTCTTACAACGCAGGAAACTTCGCCCCTATTTACGTATAACCATTTAGGTATCAGTGAGTTGCGCTAACAACGGCTCAAGCAATTAGCCGTGTACACTGACCGACACTTTTTCGTACATATTTAAAAGCCGCGTTCTATTTGGTTATTGTTCCGCGTTTTAATCTGTACAAAATATTCAAACTTAGCTTTTGAAGTGGAACATCGCTAGATTCCTCGATTGTATCTGTGCAAGCCTGTCAAAACATCTGTGTAGAAATGTTGCCACATTAAAAATACACAGAGAACAATAAAATAAATGTTATGGTAGTTTATTGTTAAAGACAACACTTTCTTACAACATTTCGCTTAATATTCAACTTTGTCACTTCACTATATGTCTCCATTCGTCTCTATCTTCCACTACATATGTGTGGAGATGTATCTGTCAAGACCCGTGTACTTCTCACTCTCTTGTTCAGTCTTCTCTTCTCCCGCTTCGCTGTTGTGGTCATCGAGTTTTATCATCATAATTGCACCAATTGAAACTGTAAAAAATGATCACAGTAAGTTCATAACACTCTTGCAAATTTTTTCAGGCTTGTGTTACTTAAGATATAAATTATTGCTTGCGACTTCGCCCGCGTGAAGTTAGAAAAAATCAGAATATAGCCTGTGTTACACTGATAACGTAGCTTTTTAATAGTGAAAGAATTTTTGAAATCGGCCCAGTAGTTTTTCAATTATTTCCAATACACACAAAAATAAAAATGTTTCATCTTTACAATATTAGTATAGATAATGATAACTGACTTGTTAGCAAACCGGCAACTGAGACGAAGGGCGCCGGGCAGGAATAGTCTAGAAGCACTCCTACCGCCAAGTTGGACATAACGCCGCCAGCACGGCCCCACCATGCTCCCCAGCAAACACCCAAACCACTGAAAAGAAATGTGACATAGAATATGTTATTACTTGTACAACTGCCACATACTCTGTCGTTGAATAGTAATTAAGAAAGTCCTTAGTGTTGACGTATCAGAAATATTTCCAAAGAGCAGACGCACACTTTGACTAAAGGATCGTAAAACTGTTGTGCGATCGGTGCGATTGTCAATTGTTTCGGAGCCAATTCAACTAAACAGTTGCACATCTAAAAATCGAGTACATCTCCATATAAGCTCATAGGAGTCAAAGCGAGGTTAATTAACAACCAATATACAAAATGCGGCAGCTAAACTTACCTCAACTTAGCAGGCAATGCGTGCAGAAGTAGTCTAATCAGCAGCACATTGCCGTTTAACGAAGCGGCATTTAGTGCTGCAGCTGCTGCAACCGCCACTTTACTCGAAGTAGCGCAGGAGCACGCACATGCCGCAAGACACGCGCAAGCTAGAGCGCAAGCCAGCGCGCATGCGGCTGCTGCCCGCTGGACTCCGCGAGCTCCCCCTCGCCCGCTCAGCACCGCACACGCTGCGTTACCCAGCACGCAGCACACGCCAACTATCAGACCTGATGTGAACACCTGTGAATAGAAAATTATATACAATCAGATTACATTGCTAAGTTAGATTTATCTAATCGATATATATTCCAAAGGTGGCTATAACTAAATTCTTTTTCATGAGAACAAAGTTTTAATTGTTTGATTTGTCATCAACTCTGTCTGCATGTGTTGGCACAGATCGATTACGTCTTTTTATTTTTCATTAAAGAATTCGAGTTAATAAAAGTTTATGTTAGTAAATGGAAGATAGATCTGTTTTTGCTTTATCTACATGTACAATTATTTATAACTGTACTTACAGCACTGTCAATATTTTCATCACATCTAACGCTTCCTCCTTCGTGCACGTTGAAAAGTGTACCATTGAACCTGTCCAATTCTGTGGTATAATCATGTACTTTGGATAAATCCTTCCACGCGACGTTGCTAGCATTGAACAGCTTTGCAGTTTCAGGTATGCTACGCGAGTATGCGCATTCTTTGCCTTGCATGCGGAGCAGGAGTTCAGGGATCCAGAGGTTTAAGCCAAAACCACTGAAACAAAAGAATGGCATCAATTATTAAATGAATAATATCAGAATTTTCAATATTTGTTTTCAAGTAATATTACGATATACGTAATTAATCATCAACAAAGTCTAAAACTATGCAAAAGTATTGTTTTCTATTGTTTAAATATTCGAATTATTCACAATAATGTCATTTCTTCTCCGACTGATGCAAGAATTTTCAGCCTTCGTATAGTATTAAAAGTAAAATAAAAAATAGTAAGTCGATTAAATTAACTTACGCAGCCATATTCGCAAAGAAGACGAAAAGAATCAGGGTTGATTTCAAAGCATATGCTTTCGATACAAACATCTTCAAGTCCTTTAACACTCCGATGAATAATATCTTCGTTCGGTTCTCTTCTCCATTTACAGTCTTCGCCACGAAAATATTATCTGGTATCAACTTCTTTACCTACAAAAGCAATAAATTGAATTTAAAATATCCGTTAATTTAATATGATTTTCGTAGCTCTCTTTTGTATTTAAGAAAAGAATCAGTAAAACAAACTAATGTAACCCTAACCTTAAATTCTCCAGTAAATCCCATATTGCATCTATGTATCTTAGTCAACAGCTTCAGTGCCATCTCACTCCTGTTGGTGTCACAGAGCAGTCGAGGACTCTCCGGCAGCAACAGCACCCACATGCCGGCCAGGAAACCCGGAATACTGCCTAGCGCTAGATACAATCGCCAGGAATGAACAGGCAGCTGGGAGTGGCTCTCCAACTTGAATGGTATCACTAACCACGCTACAGCTGTAAAAAACATACTTTTAACAATTAAAATGTAACACAATATAATAATTAATCTTGTTTGTATCGGGATCAACTCCAAAAGTGTTATATGGGGAACATACGGTTATTTGCGACTATACTACTTAGAATACCCTCTGTACGCATCGTCGAGTAAAACGAAAAAGAGTCCTGGGATCTAAAGAACAAAGATCTCAAATGACTGGGCAATAGTTAGAAATAAGAATGAGAGGTGCCATTACTTAGTCTAGGGTAAATTAGACATTACCTGGTAGTATAAGCCAAGCAGCGACGAAGCTCATGCCAGTTATGTTCAGATAAAGCTGGCGTCGCTTCACTCCAACCAGGTCTGATAGGTAAGT